GAATGGGAGTCCCTCAGCCCGGCCCTCTTGCAGTCCGGAGCCCTCGGGGGATGTCCGACTGCCACAGAGGTAGGAGAGGCTCCCACCACTGCCGCTGTGCTCACCAGCCATGAGCCTGTCTTCTGACTGAGTGGTGCTCCTCCTGTGGGAGCACACTGACCACCAGGGGGCAGCTCTTGCATTGAGCGTCTGCCCCCTGGTGCTCAGTGCATGTCATAGTGACTGGTCAACTGTCTGCCCCCTGGTGGTCAGTGCCCATCATAGCAAGCAGTTGAGTGCTCTTAGCATATTATTAGCATATTACGTTTTGATTGGTTGAACATACAACTGGATGACTGAACATATAGCATATTAGGCTTTTATTATATAGGATGGGAACCAAAAATAATGTAGGGGGAGATGGTCAGTTTCATTTCAGATGAACATAACTTATAATGCCAACAAAATATCCACAAGTTTATAAAAAATGGGAATCTGAAATGCTGTAGAGAAGCTTAAGTTAGAAATGTGATTTTTGGAGCTCCTGATAAATAAAAGTGTGTAGCTAAAGTGAATTTTCTGAGGAAATAATTGGAAAGAAAGATTGGTATGAAATTCTATGGTCCCAGAAGAAAATCCTCTACCACCTCTGTGTTCTTGACACATCCTCTGCCTGGAATATCCTATCTGAAATATCCCTGGAAAACCACATAGTCATGCTTCAAATCTCAGTTTAAGTCATCTCCTCCATGCAGCACTCTCTGCCTTACTTAACCACTCAAAATTATCTAAGGTTTCTGAGTGGCAATATTCCTATCTCCCCAGTTGACTAAGTTATCAGAGGACAGGGACCTTTTCAACTTGTAGTCTCAACACCCAGTCAAGTGTCAAGAACACAAGAGACACTAAATATTTGTTGAGTGAAATGAATTGAGGATTCATTGTCTCTTCTTGGAAGGATACTCATATAAGACCCTGTTAGTTACTTCACATTCTCTATTGCCCCTTCTTTCTTGACAACTGACCTTGGATTCTATTTTCAGTGGCAATGTGCCTGGGCTCAGACAAGATACTTGAACACCCAGACCCCCATGCAGGTAGAGGTGACCATGTCATAAAATTTTGACCAGTGAGATATAAAAGATACTTGCCAGGGCTCTGAGAGAGCTTGTGCTTTTCCTGATGAAAAGAAGATATAGCTGGTACCTGCCCTTTCCTCCTTTCTACCTTGAGCAAAAACTTAATGGTTGGAGTTGCAGGAACCATCTGGTGACTCTGAGGCAACAAGACAGAAGGAAATGATATGTGAGTCACATAAACACTAGTAATGACATTGTCAAGCCACTGAACAAATACCAACAGCTCCTTAACTGCAGACTTCTTAAACAGGAGGACAAATAATCCCCTATATGTTTAACCTCCCATGAATCAGATATATAGAGTATATGTATGTAGTTTTTATTTGCAGCCAAATAACTTTGTAGTTAATAAGATTTTTAATATCTTCAATCAACCATCTGATATTTGAATGAGCTCTAAAATTCCTCTCTAGCATAAAATATACTTCCCGAGGCAGGAAATTGATTAGCTATTAAGACTTTTCAGACCATTTGGAGAATTTAAGACCATGAGAAAGCCTTCTTTTATCAAAAAATTTCTATGATTCCCTATTTTCCCCTGATCTAGCATACAAGATCCCTCATAAACTCACTCTACCCTATTTTCCATTTCTATTTTCCTGTGGTTTCCAAAACACATACTCTATTCAAATTAGGTTAGTATTTTGTCTCAACAGACACTGCCTTATTAACATGGAAAGCTCATTCTTATGTCTGCGACTTATTGCTTACTGTTATTCTTTCCTAAATGACCAGTGCTTTAGGTTTGACTCATTTAAAGTTCTACCCACTTTCAAGGCTACCGAAAGCCCCACCTTTTCCAATGAATTTTCCATGGCTACTCCTTTTCTCACTGGTCTCCTTTCCTCTGACATAGTAAACTGTGACATAGTCTACAAAACATGGTTGACCATCCTATTAATACTTCTCCCTTGATTTGTTAATTGTCCTGTGTGGGTTTCTTTGGTTCACCTACTAGAAGGTAAAATCCTCCAAACCTGAGGCACACTCTCCTTATATATTTTTACCACAACTGCTAATGCAGCCTTACATACATAATTAATAATAATTGCTGATGGGAAGATTTTAGAAAATAAATGTATATAGTGCTTAGGAGAGCTAATAAAGACATGCATAACATACATCAAACATACACATGATTTTGGTAGTCATAAGAAGCTCAACTCAACAGAATGCACTAATATCCCAAATTGATTTTATGAACCTTTCGTTTATTAACTGGCAATGACTTACACAGGGAAAATGAATAATGGGTATTTTCAGCATGAAACACCTGCTGAATAGGACACAGAAGGAGGGGGACACACTGTTAGTGGGGAAATGCAGGTGGGAGATGCTCATAGTGGCACTCCATGCATCTGAGTGTGTGTGTGTGAGAGAGAGAGGGCGGGGGGGGAGAGAGAGAGAGAGTAAATGAAGGTATAAACATCTGGAATCAGACCCTTAGAACTACCCTCAGTAGTCATATCTGGGGAGATGGAGGGGGAAAATGTCTTCCTTTAGCTCTCCTATGTTTAGGAAAAGAGATTGTCCTCGGATTCAGTAGTTGGCTGTAACAGTAACACTCGCTGTCTAGCATAAAATAAGGAATTGCTATTATTAAAATATAAAACAAACTTTAATTAAGCATACTAATAAGAAACCAGACACAAGGCACTTGTACCAACATCTTATTGAATTCTAAAGTTCCTTTTTCTGAATAGCTGCAAATCCGCCATACATCAAGTAGGCCAGATGTTCAGCCAGAATTATGATTCTAATAATTTATTCCTTGTGGGAGAAGGCATGTAAAGATGCCAGCATTCTGAGACAATTTAATCTATCCAGATCTGAGATGCTGTGGCCTTTGATAAAAGAAACACTGTGCAGTGGTTGTGAAGTATCCCAAGATGGTATCTCCAGGTGTTCTGATGACGGAACCATTATTTCCAATTCAATGTGCTTTCAATTCCATTCCCCAGGAGGTCACTCAGAGGGTATGGCATGGGTGCCATTTATTTGTCATTGCTAGAAATGATGCTGCTGGCTTCATCTGTTTCATCCCTTGCTCCATCTTCTTGGGTGTAAGTTAGTTGTAAATGAGATACTTTCTGTCCAGGATTTTGCTGGCTTCTATCCACACATTCTTTTCCAGTCCTGCAATTGGAGCTGAGAGTCCCAGCTAGGGTTCCTCCTATGAGCTTAGCATCTCCTTATTACTCTGTTTATTCTGATTGCAATGGCATCTCACTAAATTATAAAGATGAGTATGGCTTGACCACTGCCCTAGACCAAAAACATACAAGTGTCTCTCTTAGCTTATAACTGACTCTACTTTAGCATTCGCTATGTGCTAGGCACTATACTGGTATCTTGACATGGACTATCTTTTCCAACAACCCTGTGAGACAGGACTTATTTTCTACTCATGGCTCAAATAAGAAGATGGAAGTGCGAAGAAGGGGAAGTAGACACACCTAGGAAGAAATGAAAGTAGGCATTGAAGACATATGCCCACAGTCCAGTTTCTACAAATGAAGAATCATGCTGAGTACAGAGTGGCAAAGATTTGCACTAGAGCTAAAGGAAGAGAAGTCTCAGGGATGATTTCAAAGAGGAGGAAGATAAAATTCTGGCAATGCAGACTGGGGCTGGGGAAGACCCACAACTATACATTTAAAGGTCAGAGGTGACCACCAAAGCAGAATATTTTTCTTCTCAATTTGGCATCCTCCCAGGGCAGAGTATAAAGTTGTGAGGAACACTGGAGACCGGCCCAGAAAGAGGAGATGGCTCCCAGAACTGACAGAGCACAGCAAGGAGAGGGAAGGCACTAAAGATTCACAGGGGGAAAACAAAGAGGAAGAGATCCCCGGGGCCTATTGAATTTTGCAATTTGGTCTTCATTATTAATCACAAAAGCTCTTATGTTCTTTATGCCAAGCAAAGATCACACATGACCTCATTTAACCCTCACAGCCACACTGGAAGTGTGTGTTATTATCTGCAGAATTGTTCGGTGGGGGGGCGGTGCATAAAGGCAAACCCAAACTGCAATGGGTTGAGAAGTGACTGAGCAGGTAGAATCTAGTCTGCATTTGGGATAAATTTTGGATAATAAGGAACTGGCCCCAACGAAAAGCTGATCAGTATGCCAGTCACTTTAGCACTGTTTTCTAATTTCATTCAAACCAAACTCTAAGGCATGTGGTTTTATTCACCTTCAAAGAAGAAACTGAGATTTGGAAGCTCCGTGTGGTCCCCTGTCCTATCTTCTTTGCAATAAACCCCATTCTGCTCCCATAAAGGGAACAGATAGCGTCAACAGACATCTACTGGGAGCTTCATGCCCCAGGACGGGCACTGTGAAAAGAGCACTTACCTACAGGACCTGCCATGTTTCTAATTAGTAATAACATGAGGATGAAGGGCCTGAGCCCAGGAGTCAGGCTCCCTGAGTTTCGAGCTCAGCTCTGCCATCTATGAGTGTCCTTGTGTCTGTTTCCTCATCTGTAAAATGGGATTCCTGGTGAAAATTCTTTAAAGATAATACACATGAAACATCAAGGACACGTGCCTGGGGCATGGTAAGTGTGGGGTGAAATGTTAGCTAGTCGCTTAATCGCCATTTTACAGCCAAGAAAAGAGGATGAGGAGTGATCTCCCACTGGCAGCACTAAGAGCCTGCTCTGGATTCAGGATTTCCCAGAACCCCTGTTTCACCAGCACCATCCTTCAGGGAACCTCCTGGGGAGGGGGTGCTGAGGGAGGGGGGCGGGTGTTTGTGTTTGTTTGCTTGTTGTCTTATGTGTTTCTAAGTTGGGATTGACTCACACATTTTTTCTCCTGGGGGGTGGGGGGGGGTGTGCAAAGGGAAAGACACGAAGAGAGGGAGCTGTGCGGATGGGCAACTTCTCAGAAGACGGGAAAGGACAGCTACACAGCGTGGGCACAGGTGCAGGGCCCGAAGCCTCCACCAGGAGAGGCCCAGGGCAGGCGGCCAGGATGGTGTTCACATCTTGATCTCCTTTGGAATCAGGAGAGAGAAGCCAAGAAGTTTCTTTTTCCTTTGCCCTCACTGGCCAGCCAATGTTCTTGGAGGGCATTAAAAAAACAAAGAAACAAACAAACAAAAAGAGGTCTCTCCTACCCTCTCTTTCTTCCTAGGTTTTCGTCCCCCTCCTCTCTCCAACCACCACCACTCCTACTTCCTTTTCTTTCCCTCCCTCTGCTGGTTCGCTGGTTACTTCCCCGTCCCTCTGTCCCTGCTACTAGTAGAGTCCAAGCAGCCAGCGAGGGAGAGGGCGAAACTGGGTGCGGACTGTACAGAGCGGCCAGAGAAAGAAGCCAGTCAATCTTCTCTCTCTCTCTCTCTC